TCTTTGGTGTACCTATTGCAAGAAACCAAGGCACACCAAAGAGAAGTGTTGGARGCTGAATGGTAAACCATCGAACAGGGAATGGGGCTACCGAGGAGGACAACAAAAGAGTCGAAGTCAAGCTAACTTCACCACGAATCAGCCGAGCCAAGAAAAGCCTCTAGACAAGACCAAGTTCAATAAGGAGAAGATCGAAAAGTTAAGGGGGCTTCTAGGATCATTGGAGAAACCTAGTGGTGCAGGCTCTCTTGCAATCTCAGGTAAGTTTTCTATTCCTCACGGACTAAATGTCTCAGATGAACCTATTAGGGATTTATGGGTTATTGACTCAGGAGCCACARATCACATGACTCACTCCTCACTACATTTTAGCACTTATACCCCCTGCCCAAGCAATCGAAAAATAGCCATTGCAGACGGTTCCCTTACTACCGTAGCTGGCCTTGGGGATATCCATATTAATCCATCACTTACACTAAAAAATGTCCTTCATGTTCCCAAATTGTCCAGTAACCTGGTATCCATCCAAAAACTCACCCATGACATGAACTATAATGTGCTTTTCTATCCTTACTGTGTATTTCAGGACCAAGATTTGGGGAAGAGGATTGGACTTGCTAAGGAGAAGAATGGACTCTACTATCTTGAAGAATCATGCAAATCAAATATTGTCCAGGATAAGTTATGTCTATCATTCCTTTCATCATCCAACAAAGACAYCATTTGGCTTCATCACTTTAGACTAGGACATCCATCTTTTGGAATTCTGAAAACTATGTTTCCCTCCTTGTTTAAAGGATTGAGTKTTGAWTATTTTCATTGTGATGTGTGTGAATTTGCAAAACACAAGCGTGTGCCCTTTCCAATCAGTAACAAKAGAAGTTCAGTCCCATTCTTTTTGATCCATAGTGATTTATGGGGACCCTCCACAGTTCCAAATGTGTCTGGCTCACGATGGTTTGTCTCTTTCATTGATGATTGCACTAGGGTCTCTTGGATCTTTCTTCTTAAATCTAAATCAGATGTAAGTAGTGTACTCCCAAATTTCCATAACATGATTCAAAATCAGTTTGGGGTCAGAATCAAAAGATTTAGATCAGATAATGCACGAGATTATTTCAACCAAACTTTGTCCCCATATTTTCAAAAAGAAGGGATTATCCATGAATCCTCYYGCATTAATACTCCAYAACAAAAYGGAGTAGCAGAAAGGAAGAATGGTCATCTACTAGCTACAACCCGAGCCTTACTTTTCCACCAGCATGTTCCAAAAACCTATTGGGGGGAAGTTGTGCTTACAGCCGCATACATTATAAGTCGATTACCTTCGAGGGTGCTGGGATTTAAAACACCAATGGAAACACTTTCTCAGTTTTATCCCGATCTACGTACAACAAATAATCTCACCCCAAGAATCTTTGGATGCACAACTTTTGTCCATGCCCATAGCCATAATAGAGGGAAGTTAGACCCAAGAGCCGTCTAGTGTATTTTTGTGGGTTATTCGTCCACCCAAAAGGGTTATAAGTGTTACCACCCACCCAAAAAATTCTTTGTCTCTATTGATGTCACTTTTGAAGAAAAAACACCATATTTCACTCAACCTTATCTTTAGGGGGAGTGCTTGTCATTCATTGAAGATAAGGACAAAGATTTGTTCCCACTTGGTCTACCTAAAGTTTCTCAACACCCAAACTCAACATCTATACCAGTTCAATTTGTATCTGCACCTATCGAACCACCTTAAACCAAACCAACTTCTTCACCCATTCATACCAGACCCATGACAGAGAATGATGAACTTTGTGACTCTATGAGATTGCAGGTATATTCAAGAA